ATTTTCTAATAAAATTTCCATCGTTGCTGCATCGTCAGTTGCTGATTCAACATTACCCGAATCATCATCAACTGTATTTTCGTTATTTTTGATAAATTCATTTTCGTTTAATCTTTTCGTCATACTTTCTTTTAGTGCGTTGACATTTTTTTGATTTCAACTTGAAGATAGTCCAAGCATATTAAACATTTAGATTGGCACCTTTTGTAGACAATGATTGTGATAACCATGTCCGCATGCAGTACACTACAATTATTCAAATCAGTATAGTTAGTATAATCACAATATACGTAATCGCAAAAAATGTCTATAGATGGTTTCCTAGAAGTAACAAAGCCTCTTGGAAGGTGACGATCGGTTATTTCATAAACTAAAAAAGTTAATTTGTATGAGTTGATACCATTAGATGAAGTTTTAATAATCAAAGGATACTGATTTCGTGCTTGATATATCTTCGTAAACACATCTAAAAGCAATACAGCACACTTTCGGGAAAGCATATACAATTGCTTTGGTCTATATATGGATATTTTTCATAGAATCTATGAAATTTTGACGAAAATTATTATCCTTTCGATGCTGCAAAATAAAACGTGCCTCATTTTTCAGTTGTTGTGCAGTGAAAAACTTAGCCGTACGTCATCAAATAATGCTGTGAACGATTTTAGTAACCATATCAATCATTGGATGATTTGTCTCTATCTAATAAAAGACATCAGAAAAAAAATAAAGGTGCACACTTATAATTTCTTCGATCAAACCGAAGAAAAAGATCACTCCAGCAACGCATACAAGATTCCTCATAAGCCAACCAGTTAAGTAAAAAAATTATAGATTTTCTTTACCTTTTCGTTATGAATCTCTTGATTATTTCGTAATAAATAAAGATTAAAAAAGCTTACATATAAATTTTTTATAAATTAAAATATTAAAAAAAAATACCTTTGAATTATCATTTACTTCATGTAAAGCAGTATCTAGATGTTTTTTTATTCGTCTCTTCATTTTTTTAATATTATTTTTCACATTGAGCTTGTAAAATTATTTCTGAGAAAAGTGAAGCGTGGTCACCTTGAACAGAATCGGTATCTTCATTATTTTCATGACTTTTACCAAGACCTCTACCAACTGCTATAACTTCATGACTTTCGCGACTTCCATGACTCCCACGATTTCCTTGATTTTGTTTCATTATACAGTAAATAATATATTAAAGGAGAATTTTAGTTTGAAATGAATAGAAAAAAAGTTTTAAAAAAGGTTTTAAAAAAAAATTAAGTATATTATTAAACTTTAAACTTACTATATACTATTTGCGTTGTAAAACTAATTTCGTTTAACAACGTGATGTTAATCAATATTTAAAGTTGTACAACTCGATGTAAATTTGTGCGTTTAGAGTTTCTATCCGTAATAAAATTCTTATTCGTTCTTATTCTATTCATCCTATTCGTTCTATTCATTTTATTTGTTCTATTAATTATTCGTTTTATTCGTTTTATTCGTTTTATTCGTTTTGTTCATTTATTTGAATTATTCATTTCATTCAACTAAACTATCAATCTAATTCGAATATTCATAACGAACGAAACAAATAATTCGAATAGAAATCCTAAGGACGTTCTATATTTTTTTTCAATTCATATATAAAATTTATCGTCTCCGCAAACTTTTAAACTTTTATTGCTTCAGGTTCTAAAATACAACGCCTTTGAGTAATTAAGTCTGTACCTCCAGAAAAAACTCGTTCACTGGTTGTTATTAGATTAGAAATTAATAAATTTAATTCTGAATAAGCAGAGTGCAAAAATTAGAATACCAGGAACTGGCAAGTAATTTTTAGCCTAAAGCTCTGAACAGTTCGGTTTGAACCAAACCGTTCGAAGCTTTAATTTAAATCATTTTGATCCCTGAAATTCTTGTAGTACTAATGTTGAATTTGTCTGATTTTGTTGCAGCATACCTCATATATTAAATAATCAACTCAATTTTCTCATTGGATAGCAAATCATACCATCAATCAATCAACTTTAAAAATGTCATTACAATATATCCTCTTATCTCAAAAAGAAACTTCCTCAAAGTAATTTAAAATTCAATGGTAGATCCTGAGCTGGAATCTTTATATATTTGACCAAACTTTAGTTGGTCTCTCAATTTTAATTTGTTAAATCATGCAATTATCACGTGTCCAACCTGCATGATGGTCAGTGATCTTGCCAAATTTATTTATTATCTTTTAGATAAAAAATTTTTTATAATCTACAATAATATTGGCAAAGATGATAATGAGAATGATATTAACAACAAGGAACTCAATCAGACCTCAAGAACTTCCGATATCAAAGTTTATTATTAAGAGGAACACAAAAACTTATACAACAGCAGTAAACCAAGAAACTTTAGATAAAATTGAAACTTTGATTAAAAACACTCGATCTATTACACCATTACACAAAATTCCAAAGCATAATTCATTAAACAATTTGATTTGCAAAATTGCTAATCGCGAAGAAGCACAGTTATTGCCAAGTTTGATTTCACAATGGCGCCGATGTTTATTACCAATCACTTTCCAAACTACAAAATTATTATTTAATTGTTTATGTGATGAGAAAATTGGCGGGGAAGATGTGATGTTTAAAATGTTGGCTGATAGAAAAAAATATGGATTATTGCCTGATGTGGAGGGATTCAGACTATTGATGCTAAGATATTCTAATAAGATTTCGGGAGATGACTTTTGGAAGGAAAGAAATTATTTTATTGATGAAAAAATAAAATTATTGTTTACAGATTTAAATGATAATCATATTCAAGAAATTATTGACAGCAATAAAGATGATGAAATTCAAAATAAAGAAGATCCAAATAAAACACAGAAAAAAAAAGACGCTAAAAAGGGAATAGAAGAAGTAAAAGAAGAAACAGTTGTAGTAGAAAAAAATGAACAACCTAAAACAGAATCAGAACTTTATCTGGATAAATTGTTCAAAACATTTGGACTAATGACATATTATGATTTATCACAATATGATCCATATTTATTTTTGATTATATTATCAGCTTCGATGAAATTAAATACCATTGAAAGTATAAAAAGAATTGATATAACATCTAAAGAATTTCTTGAAGTATTTCTGAATTCTGAGAAAAAAATCGATTATTCCACAAAAAATGATATATCAGTATATTCATTTACATTGCTGCAGAATATATTGGAATTAGAAGAAATTCATCGACAAAAAAGAGTGTTGCCAACACAATTACATGACATAGGTGATGTTGAAAAGAAAGCAGAAGTTTTTCTAAAAACATTAGAAGAAAATCCAGAATCATTATTCACATCAAAAACCTCATCATCATCATCATCATCATCATCATCATCATCATCATCATCATCACCACCATCAAATGAAGTTGAAGCAACAGTTGATACAACAACCTTAGAAGAACAAATTATAAAATTAAATACGAAATTATCTTCAAAATCAGAAAAACAACTTCATTATATTGAGATACTTGAAAAATTTATCGAAAATAGGGGAAATTTTTTTGTAGCAGAAAAAGAAAATCAGCAGAATTTCAATAAGCAAAAACATGTAATATGTTCAAATACACTAAATTTAATGACAAATTATTATAATAAATTATCTAAATTAGAAAAAAGGGACAATATTGAAAAGTATAAAAAAATATTACAATTAAATTATCAATATTTATGTGATGGATTTAAAAATCTAAAACTTGTTTGGGAACTTGAATATAATCACAATCACATCAGTAGCAATAGTTCAAAAGATAAAAGACATTGTTGGAAATGTGGTTCACAAATTGATTACAAATCTTTACATTGTGAAAGAAAAGATTGTGGTGTAATACAAAAAGCATTGCCTGCCGATATTAATTATTTTGAAATGTTGAATATTGTTGATAAATCGTAAGTTTATTCTTTTGATTTTTTAAAAAAAAAATTATATATATATAATAACGATGGTAATAATGATATTGATAAAAGGTTTTCTAAAAAAAATATTATATAGAAAGCCAATAATATTTGATATTGATGAAAGCAAATTAAAACGTAATTTTTTATTATTGCAACAACAAGTACATCCTGATAGTTATGGAAATAAAGATAAAGTGAGTTAATAATTAATAAATAATCAGTTTATTTCTAATATTGAAGGTATGGATTAATAGCAATTAAATATTATATAGCAAGAATATACAAATGCACAACAACTTTCTTCTTCGATTAACAAAGCTTATCAAGTATTGAAGGAACCTCTTTTAAGAGCTAAATATATAGTAAATATTCTTAATTTATATTGTTGAAATAACTATAAAACTTTAAAATTAAAAAATAATAATAATTCAAAACCATCATCATCATTATTATTCTAAAAAGCTTCATTTGAATAACATTGATATATCAGAATCAGAATCTGTACAAGATCCACAATTGTTGATGGAAACTTGGGAGTCAAGAGAGAAATTGGAGGAAGCCGAAAGTGAAGATGAAGTGAAATCGATCAAATTAGAATGTGATGGTAAATATAATAAATAATATGAGTGTCATCATCATCTGAGAAAATCAATTTTTTTTGGTGCCACCAGATTTTTAAAATCTGTCGTGTAACAAAAAAATACACCCATATTAATTTACAAATATTATTTAAACAACAATTTAATTAATTAATTATTTGTTTATTTGTTTACTTGATAGAAAACATCAATCAGATAATAAAAGATTTATCGGATGCTTTTAATGCAAAAGATTTCGTTAGAGCTAAAGAATTAACTATAAAGTTGGAATATTGGAATATCACTCAAAAAGCAACAATTAATTGGTCACCAGGAAAAAAATCCAAATTCCATCATTAAAAATAAATCAATGATAAATAGTTATTTAATTTTGTTTTGATAGGAAGAATTTGTTGTGTTGGTGTTTTTGATGGTGTTGGCTTTCTCTTTTGTTTCTAATCTTCTAATTCTTCTTTCTTTGTTCCTCAATTCTTTTCTATAAATCTTTGAAAAATGATCATTATTACCATCCAATAACATTGTTTCTTGGTCATATCTTTTTATAATATTCTTTTCATACGAATGTTTGGATTCTGGAAAAACCTTTAATCTACTGAGTCGAATATCCCTCAATCTATTTTTTGGTAACATTCCTGATACTGCTTTTCTAATAATCTGTATAAATAAATAAAATAAATCAGAGAAAGCTTTATCTCGTTTGATGTTTATTCTATTTTTACCTCTTCAGGTGTTTTTCTTAACAAGTCTTTATAAGGTATTTCCTTCAATCCACCTGGATATCCTGTATGATGTCGATAGATCTTTTGATCTGATTTTTTACCAGTCACTGTAACGTGCTTTGCATTTATTACCACCACATAGTCACCACAATCAGCTTTTAAAATGAATATTATTTAATTAATGTAAAATTGATATTAAATTACACATGATTCGTATGATAAATTATCACTTACATGCTGGATCATAAATAGGTTTATGTTTACCCATTAAAGTCACAGCAATAGAACTTGCCATTCGTCCCAATATTCTTTGCCTAGCATCTACCAAATGCCATATTCTCGCATAAGCTAAAGCTGTCTATATATTGTACATATTATTAATTATTATCATTTGTTAAATAAATAAGATAATAAAAATAATAAGTTTTATTATTTACGTTGCCAACAGCTTGAGACATATTAATATCAATATAGAAAAAATGTAGATCGCTATCATATAAAATGAATTAAAAAAAGATAGTGTTACGAGCTTGCTTGAGCGCCGTTTGTTATATATATATCTTGATATTTGTTAGGTAAGAATGAAAATGAAGATGGTTGGTCATACTTGTAAAAATCATTGAGTTGGTAGGCCTTTTGAATACGTGAATTTCTTGTGATCTTATAATTAATATATATTAAAAAAATATATACCGTCAATGAAACCAACCAAAATATTTCAAAAAAATATTTACCACCGACTAAAAGATTTTTAGCTGATCCTGTAAACTACTATCGATAATAAAAATGGAACGAACGAACAAATCAATTAGTTGATTTTCTTTATAATTCACTAAAAATAATAATACGTACTTTATCGAATTGTAGGCAGCGAGCATAAACCAGTTATTCAAAAAGATATCGATGTTAAAAGACTTGCGGTTTTGTATCTAATCTGCAAAAATAATTTGAAAGTATATACCGAGGCCTAAAAACGTACAACTCGTCAGTAGTTTATGAAAACATAACTGGTTACCATTAATTCACTGTGTTAGTATTCAAATCATGCAAATGCAATCTTTAAATCAGAAAAATAACGTCACGATGATACACTCAAAACGGAGAGTTCTTGTGATTGGGACCACGGCAAACAAACAGATCTCGCCCGGTTCCTGATGTTTCGAAAAGTAGAAGATCGTGAATGACAATTATAGAAAATTCTTATGACGTTATTAAAACTACAAGTAAATGGGAACTTAAATATGAAATGTTCGTTACAGACGTTTTCCAATTTGAATATAAAGCTTTTAAGACAAACAATTTTTGAATTGATTTCGTTTAAATATGTTCGTTTCCATACATTTAAAAATAAAAAGGGCTTCTAAGACAAATCTTGTTAGTTTTGAGTGCAAAAGAATGGTGAAACCTAAAGAAAAACACTTTCTATTTCGAATTCGCATAGCAACCCTAAAGAATCACCGATTGAATAATAGAATTCAAAGATTGTAAAATAAAACAGGTATTATGCCTAATTTTATTGTTTATTCTATTTATTTATTATTATTATTAGCATTATTATTACTGTTGTTACTAGTATTATTAAATTAGTAGTATTAGAAAATTTATTATATCCATAAATAAATAAGTTATTCTAATATAATATTAAAAAGAATTATGATTGATTGAATGATATGATTGAATGATTGTATGGGTGTGTGTGTGGGTGTGTGTGGGTTGGTGGTGAATGAATGAATGAATATTAAAAATTTACAACTTCTTTGTTTCTCTTTTGATTTATATATTTATTTTTTTTAACTATCTCTATAACTTTTATTTATAATTGACTTTATAGTTAATTTTTTATTATTATTTGACTTGAATAAACCCAGCAGATAATGATAAATTGTTTTTCCAGTCCATGAATCTTTCAGATGTAATACTATAAGCCATGTAAAGAATCCCAACGAATAAAAATAAATTAAATAAGTGTATCTTACTCCATAAAACAATGAAAATATTATGATGAAAGTTAGCAATGAATTTGTTATAAACCTAGATTTTCTATAATACATGTATATATATATATATATACATCGAAGGGAATAGAAAGAAAATTCAACGGATTATTATGAATGAATATTAAGAATTCTATTTATTAAAAATCAATAAATCAATTAACTTAATTACCTTTCGACAATTCTAGGCAACATATTATTTACATTAGTGATAATCTCAACATAAAATACTATAGGTGCAATTGCTAAAACATTGTTGTCCCATGAAAATGGTTCAAACCAACTAACTGAAATATTTCTTATCCATACCATTAGGATAGGTATATTGAAAGGCAGTAACATAAATAGAATCATTAGGATTGAATGTAAATAATGATAATAATTATAAATCTCTTGATCATTTATGGATTTTTGCTAATCGTAAAAATAATAATAATAATAATTAATAAATATTAATTAATAAATAATATTTTTTTTTTATCCTCCAAAAAAAAAACTTACTTGTAAATGAGCCATGACCAAAGACCGTATACATGACATAAGATGAACGAAAAAAGCCACTAAAAATGCAAATTGATATGGCACAAATGTTGCTACTAATATAAATAATATTGTTGCGGTGATAACTCTTCTTCGCAATTGCGATGTGTTGGATTCAGTTGGTCTATTTAATATACATATATACATATGATAAATTGATTAGTATTTCAAAATAATAATAATAATTATCATCATTATCATCATCATCGATCCTTTGATCACCTGCTAAATAATTGTCTATCAAGATTTAATAATCCTAGATTATTAATAAAAATGATTATTCCTGCTACATATTTAATAAATAAACTTAACAATATCCAACATAAAGTTGTTATTCCGGTACTCAATATCAAAAATAAAGCCGGCAAAAACCAAAAACAAAGATTTTGGTTTCCAAGTAAAATATCGTCAATTTCAAACAGTGATGACGATAGTAGTCTTTCATTTATGTACGAATCAATTGGCAATAAATCTGATAGTGAATGATAGGTTGTAGTAATTGATTGATAGATTGATAATAGGGAAACAAATAAAATTAATTTGAAAAGTGATTGACGAACAAAAAGTTCCAAACCATGTCCAAAACTTATAAATGTTTCTAAAATAATGACGATGATGATATAAAAGTAATATATAACAACACTGTTAATAATAAGCCTTTTCCCAAAAAATAAAAATAAAAAAAAAATAAAAAATAAAGATAATTAATTATATACTAACCACTATGATTATATTCTTTTAATTGATGATAAAAGGTTATAATAACTATTATGAAGGGAAAAGCAGCCAAAACTGTCTGAAATCGCATCACTATTTTACCCAAACTGCCATAAAAATCAAACTCTATATCAATTGATAATGGTGAAGGACACGTTGGATCAATCCAAAATTGTAATTCTAATCCTTTCTGATTCATTATGAAACTATTATTACTATTGCTACCATTATTGTTGTTGTTAAATCCCGCTCCAAATGGTGAACGACCATGAATATTTAATTCAATATTGTTTACATTAACGAAAAATTTCGATTCATACATTGATGATATTGATTGACGTAAAAATGGTGCAAAATGTTGCTGTCCTTTTTTTTCAAAGATAATTTAGTTAATTAAATGATGATGATAATAATAATATCTCGTATATAAATAATAATAATTTTTACCATCACATCCTGAACGTTGAATTGAAATTTTATAGGTCAATAAACTACTATCTATCACAGGAATTTTTAAATTAGATACTAGTGCGTTGTGTTCAGGAAATGCATCAATATGAATTCCGTCCATCAATACCTCTAACAAAATAAATAAATGATGTATATTAATTAGTTAGTTAATAGTATTATAATAATAATAATAATAATAATAATAATAATAATAATAATAATAATAATAATACCTTTAATTGAACTATTTATTTCCATGATTGTTGTACTTTCATCGTAAAATTCACCAATAAAAAATCCTTTATTCATTAAATTTAATTCATCAAACATAACAACAATGTATTGATAATCACCCAATTCTTTTACTTTTAATTTCACAAAATTAAATGTTTTATCAGAAAATGTGTTTTTGCTTTCAAATGTCGATTCTGGTAATAAAACAATATCATCAGATGAGATATAAAAGCATGATAATTTAGGCGCTATAGGTAATAATAAATCGTTTGAATAGAAATCGGTGTCGGTCACTCGTTCAGGTACTTCGGTTGGCATAACATCACATAAAAGTAGTTTGATTCCTGAATATTTTGAAAGTGATTGATCAGTTAAAAACGTGAAGGTGTTTAAAGTAGAATGCGGAGCTGATGGTGGAATTGGCATTAAATAGATTTGAGATTTTGAGCTTGTGTTGTTTAAAACAAGTCTTTGCCCCATATCTAAAAATTGATACGACCCTTTTCCCAAATCCAATATATCAAAAAATTCTATTTTTGTGCGTTTGCATGTGTATGCAAATTTAATTATTTGAACGAAAAAAAAGTTTATCATCATTGTTATTATTTTGAAAAATTAAAATAAAATAAAAATAATTATTATTAATAAAAGGTTTGAATGTTTTGGCATGTAAAATTTACCCCTTGGAGATTTATCAATGTCAATAGAATCCTCTAATCCTGTCAATAAATTTTTTCTAAATACCTTCATTCTTTGCGATGTTGGTATTGTTTGGGTTGAACGTCTGATATCAACAATGTTTAGCAAAGTATTGGCAACAACTTTTACTAATTGTTCACACCATAAAATACATTGATGATCCATTGAAGTCCAAACTTTAGGTATGGAGGTTGTGAAAACAGTGAAACCATTTGAATCAGGAACAAGTGAATTTATATTTGTTGAGTCACTACAAACTATAGTATCTAAATTTCCACCAGCTATTGATATTAAAGTAACATCCATCAAAGAATTTGATGAGGATTCGGTATCTTTTGAATAACTATAATTTGAATTTGAATTATAATTATAATTATAGCCTTTCCTCCAAAATTCATTAATGTCATTATAGTTTTTACTTATTTTCCAATCAAATGAAGCAGGTGGTAAGGTGTGAGGTGTAGACATTGTTAAAATAGTATTTATTGAGCCAGGTTGAAAATTTGGTGTCTGGAATAAAGTTCTTGCAACAACACCTCCCATCGAATGACCAATTAATATTACTGCTGTTGGATCAGGATATGGTTGAGATGATGAACTTGTCTGTTGACTTTTCCTAATTGATGGGTATAACGATAAAATATATCTAATTGCGTCGTTAAGATATTCTGCTTGTTCACATAAAGAATGCCCATGAAGCGCTGAATACTCTTCATTAAAATCAACTATATATGCGTGTGCATGAATGAATGTAGAAATGATTTATTTATTTATTTATTTAAACGTTAATTTAATTGATTGATTAATTAGTTTTTACCTGTAAAAAAATCAATTGGTTTTATGCCGTTACCAAATGATCTAGATTGTTTAGATATAACTTCATAATATAGTTTTGAAGTTTCTGCCGCTATTGAACGTACTTGTTTATAACTGCCAGCATTACCAGGAATAAAAAGTGCAGGAATTCCTAGAGGCTTTTTTTTAAGAATTAGGAATAAAAAATTAATGATAATTCAGAGAATTTGAGAATTTAGAATAAAATTTTGCAATACTTGATTACTAGTGTCATAAGGTTGGTCTCTATATAAATAGAGGCTATATTTTCCGGCAAATCGCGTTTGTTCACTGTCAAATCCATTTTGTTTTATATAATAAGGATGCATATATGATAAATTGCATCCTTTAGGGTCTTTTTGATAATTTAGAAATGAGTCAAACATTAAAGCTACTGATAATAATGTTGCTATAAATAATATTATTACAGGATAAGAAAGATATATTGAAGTTGATGAATTAATATGTAATTTTTTTGTGGGTGTTGGTGGTGGTGATGACGATGGTGACGATGACGATGATGGTAATTTTGAATCTTGTAATATAGATTTGGCTAGTTTTTCTGATTTTGAAAAGTTTGATTTTGTTGGAGTTTTCCTTTTTCTTTGTTGTTGTTGTTTCTGCAAATTATTGTGCTGTTGAATTGTTGGATTATCAACACCGTTGATGAGATTACGTGAGGCATTTATTTTATTCTGTGATGAAATGTCATTATTTAATATTACATTATTGTTATTTTTATTATTATTATTACTACTACTACTACCGTTGTTATTATTATTATTATTACTGCTACTATTGTTATTATTATTGTGATGAGGATGAGATGATCTTACTTTAAGTGTTTCACTCTCTTTAAATTCACAGACATCCATTGTTTTTATTATTTTTATTAATTAAAAAAATAATTTCTAATGCTACTAATAAAACTAGACTACACATTTAAATTAAATTTTTTTAATTTAAATAAATACAAAATGCAAAAAAAAAATTTTTTTCAATGAAAATTGTGTATATGTTGTAATATATATATATATGAAATTAAAATTCAATCAAATATGGGAAAATAGATTGTACTGGGGGGGTGTAATTGCTATATTGAACTTGGATAAATTTAAGTTTATAAAAATTTTTAACATTCGTTACGTTGAAGATTTTTGACAATCAATCATAGTAATTGTTAGAGTTATATATTGTGTTTATCTGTTAAGATAACATTATATAAAGATATTTCAGCTCTTGCTTTTGTTCTAAAAGTGAATTTATTTTTGGCAGTACTACCAGAAATGCTAACACGCTGTACATCTCCCGATAAAAAATTAATTTATAATAATAATTTACCAATCCTCAATTTATTTTTACATTGGATCAAAAGAAGGCGTTGCCTAAACCTTTCAAATAAGTCCACACACCACCATAGCCAACTTGTAAATTGTAAATAAAATCAATAGCGAGCATTTGTGTCATTATTGCCAAGGACGTTCACAGCAGGCCATCCACCGTACATTGTGCTTATTTACCCAACTAGTAACTTTCGCAAGCTGTAGACACGAAGTGCTCACAGTTCCCCATTTTTAATCCTAGTGAGCACTCGGTGAGAAATACTTTACTTGTAGCAATTCCCCGCATTCTCTTTTAAAAACGTCTCTTATTTCCTTGCCTTTCTTTAACTTCGGTTTACTACTGTTTATTATGACGATGATATAATAACAGATTTGATTTTTCTAATGATTGACCATTGTTAAATTTACACTTAAACCCTTCTAACAAAACGTAAACAAAAACTTAAAACTAATCCTTTGCTTCTTCACTAAGAAAATAACCTTCCCTGTAAAAATTTACTCTGTGATTAGTTTCCATTATTAAAACTTCGTGTTTTTTCCATTTATATTAATAAATATACATTTCCGTGTTTTTTTTTCCATGATAATGACAATAAATGTATTGATATATAATATTCGTGGAATCTATAGTTCCGTTTTTCATAAAAAATGGGGATTTCACTGACATGCATTAATTAATGTTATAAATTTCTGGTCTGATAACCATAAACTATCCCTTCATAGGTTGGACGTCACGTTGCGTAGATTTATTAACCGTTAACAGCTATTTTGGTTAGGATTGAATGCGAATTAATAACTGACTGACAAACGAGCAAATAATAAATAATTAATAAAAAAATTACAACTTTAGATATTTATCCGAGAATGCTAAATATTCCAACTATAAGAAAACTATCGGAATTTAATCTGGTTCTCTCGATCAATGATATAAAGTTCATTGTTTAGCATGCTGAGAAATCCAACACTTCTACAAATTGCACTAGCATTAATTACTTCAAATGCATCAAGATCCAGAAGGCTGTGAATTTTGAGCCCACTGCACATATGCTAACATGGGCTGTGGTCATTATATTGGCGTGAAAAAAAGGATTGCACCTCTCCAAAGAATTCTCGCTCTTCCGGAATGATTGGTGACTTTTAACTATAAGCATTTCAATCTACCAAGAGCCTTACGTAAAGAAAACTAATGTTACTAACATGATAAAATGGCAAGTTTTGAAAGAATATGTATTAGTGATGTACATTCAGCAACACAAAAATTTGTATGTGCCCTTGCAATTCGAAAGCTTCGAGAAACAATCGCCAGTCCATGTTCTGCTTGAAGTTTTCGATATTTCCGAACAGAATTTGTAATTGACTTGAGAAAATTTTTTAAAAATTGAAAGTATAAATAAATAGAAATCTTACTGCAAGCTGGTTTGCATGTTTCCTTTCCAAAACATATAGAAAAAATTAAAATAACTAATTTGATTGTCACGTAACAATCCTTTCTGATCGTATATCACCCAGATCTAAAAAAATAATAGTGTAATTGTTATTACAGGAATATATCATAATTAATAATAAATAAAGTACGGTCGCGTAACAATTCTTTCTGGTTTCGTTTAACCATTAACCTTTGGAGAAAGAAAATCATGTAAATTCCTTTTAATTTAATCATTACATTTCCAAAAATATATATATGCATATAAAATATTAACTAATAATAATATAAAAATAGATGCAAAAGTAAATAATGAAAAAAAACATATTACAATTACTGTCTTTACAATATAGAATGTGTTCGGGTAATCTAAATTTTAATATACTCGGGTTTATAAAACTGTTTTTTTGTGAATCTCTCTAAAACTAATTAACCAATACTACAAAGCTTGGAAAGCAAGTTTTGTATAATATACTTGATAAATGTTTTTATATATAATAGGTGAATTTGATTATGATGCTTATTTGAAAATGCCATACAAGTATTTAAAATTCAAAAAAAAACGCAATAGTTCTTTACCTATTGCCATATATTTTTGTATCTCGTCAAGTAGTTGATCGAAGAAAGCCCGAATTCTATTGCACATCAGTAATGGTATTTAATATTGATTTTAAATCACAATTCGTTGACGCATTTTAATAATAATATTAAATGTCACTTTATTATTGTTGCTTGCTCATATTATATAATTATTTTAATCGTTATTATTTATGTAGGAATAAAATGTAAAGGAAAATATTTATTTACTATATTTATTTTTAAAATAAATGATTTGACATATCTAGGTGAACAAAATTGTATAAATATTCATAACAACATATTTGCAATTGGACACGTCAAACAAAATTTTACGCATATGAATATAAAGGCAAAGTTTGACTTTGAGAGTCAGATTATTTTCGGTTTTATTAACAACCTGCTTTAAGATTTTTCATAAAGTAGATACATATGATAAAGAAATTAT